AAGCCATTGATCATGAAGTGTTAAATCTCCGTCTTTGTTTTCTAAAATACAGTGGAGAAGGTTCACTTAAATATATTTATTACATTTTTACCCGTGAAATACTGTAATTTATTCATTGAATAAAAATGATATCCTGTCACACTGTGAAAGAATATCAAAATGATATCCTGTCACAGTGTGACGAATATCAGAAGTGCGGGAAAACTCTCGATTTCCCTTCCCATAACGAAGATTGCTGTAAAAAAATCTTCCTTGACCTAATATAAGATAGATGAAATAAATTCTGGCAGCGAATAAAACTGTTTACCAAAAATATGTTGCTAAATCCATGTTTACAGTGTTTTCACCTCACTTAAGAAATAAATAACAAGTTTATAAACTTCAATGGGAATTTGTCACGTGATCAAATCCTGTGAAGGCCGAAGGCCTTCTCAGAAGATTTGATTGTCCCCACTTCAATTCCCATTGAAGTTTATAAACTTGTTATTTTTTATATATACATTTGAGACAGACAATTGAATATTTTCGAATTTAAATTATTGCACTAACCGTCCGTCGTAGATTTTGAAAATGACGCAAGGTGTAAATCGGCTTGCATGGCGGTTACGTTTCGAATTCATTAGGCTAAGGAATCTATTTCGAAGGGAATATTTTGTGAAAGGCTACTTGTGAAGTAATAGTGAACAGATTGTTGAGGAATATTTTTACGTGAAAAATTATAATCGATGCTTAGACACAAGAAATACGTCCGAAGTTTGATGATAAAAAGTTGGAAGAATTTCGGTCGCTGGAAAGAGATGGATAGATCTATCTGGATTGAGACACTTGTCCGAGCCAGTAAATTTGCAATTTGATAAAAAAAAATTCTACGGTTTCAGTAACTAAAGGCATACTTATCGTAAAACATTGATAAACATGGAGACACTGGCGACAGCTTTAGGTCCTACAATGAACTACGAAAACGCCGAGGTGTTTGGCAGCTGTTCATGGCATGATTGCAATGATATTTTTCAACAGATTTACACATTTATCGTGAGTAAAATTTAAAGATAAAATGAAAGTTTATCATGAAAATTTAACCAAAGGTTTACCCCAAAATATAAGGATGAACGTTCAGCTGACAAAAGTGAAGAAAAATATAAACAAACGCTAGGCTTTAGTGATTTTCCATGTATACAGGTTGAATCGATGGCCCCAAAACTGTATGAAATTCTTGTTTACATTTTAAATAAAATAATTACTATCATTTTACTTGCTTATTTTATTCATTTTTATACATGATAAGCAATAGAGCAGGTCATTTCATAATTTATGTACCGGTAGATATTATTGCGCCGTGTGATTAGGTCAAGTGACCTCTGACAAACTTCATACAGAATTGAAGATATTTTCTCTCTGTATGTTTATATAATGGAGAGATACCACAAATGTATATATATATAGCTATGACGTCTCAACCGCTCAACTATGACGTCACGAGCCTATGACTGTGTAACAAAAAGACAGAGGCAAAGGAAAAATCAAAGAATTTTATTTTAAAAATGTAATAAACAGAAAATTCAATGTTTTGTAGTTGAATATGGAATTCATTTCACTCGTGAGACAGGATTTTTGATATAATATCAAAAATCCTGTCCCACTCGTGAAATAAATTCCATATTCAACTACAAAACATTGAATATCCTCTATTTATTTCATTGAAACGTCTTTTTTTTTTAAATTTTATCAAATTAAACTTGCAAGACTTTGGTCAGGAGAGAGAGAGAGAGAGAGAGAGAGAGAGAGAGAGAGAGAGAGAGAGAGAGAGAGAGAGAGAGAGAGAGAGAATGTTCTCCCAAGGTCTTGTGAAGAATTTCGTTTCATTTTTCTCATAAAATCGGTGATAATAAAAACGTGTACTTGATTTAAGTGTGATTTGTCACATATAAGAAATATTTGCAGGTGTATATGATGGATAATGGTGTAACGAATTATTTAAGTTTTGTAGTCCTTTCTTATCACGTTCCGACTTTTCACGGGAATCTCCATTGGCACATAATGATGGGGGTCTTTATTCAGTGTTTAAGAGGGGCTCTCTATATATGGTAATCGTCATCCATTAACGCTAGTATCTTATGCATAATGTAATAAGAGATAAGATCAAACACCAGTATAAAATTTTAAAATTTGGTTTAAAAAAAATTATGAAGAATTCTCATGAATGTGAAAAGCTGCCATCTGTCAGAATGAAACTTTGAAAGTGATGTCTAAATCATTTTTATAAAAAGGGTCTATCGCCATAGTTAGGTTCATGTGTAAACTAAGATGTATTTGAAAACTAAAAGTATTCTGAATATGCTAAAAAATGTATACCTGAGAATTTTAAAATAAAAAATTATATATATTTTTTTAAATTAAAACATTCAGACTCTCTTCTCGTTGGAAATCAAATTTAATGTAAAAAAAGTTATTCTATCTTATCTAGACTAGCTTCAACAAATGAGTAAAGGTGACGACTTTGTAAAAAAAAATTCTACAGGAAAATATCCTTAAGAAACCTGTTGTTAAAATGATCCCAAGTAAATTGTAAATGCATGAATGTGTGCTGTACAATAAATCACGGATAAACAGGACGAAATAGATAACACCTAGAAATTAGAGTCATACAATATTTTAATGACTGTTACTCCCGGTAGGTGGCGGTAACCCGAGCCAAATGCTTGTGACGTGCGCCATTTTGGCAAAATGTTTAACAGCAAAAATAGCAATATACTTCAACTGTCTGGAGTGATGAGAACAAGACAGAGTCAATGGGTAGTCAGTCACATAGTTACTGTGTCAGTCTACAGTTGTTCTTGTATAAATGTATATACATGTATATTTCAGACCTCTTTTTCCCTCTCTAGAACACTCTTTCAAAAAGACCATTTTCTAAAAGTCCCTCATCATGTGTTGCATTGGTACTGGGAATAAGGTTCTATTACTTGCCTTTATTTAATTTTTTTTAAGTTTACCTCATGGATTTGAACATATTGCAGGGCTCTTCACTACTTGTATATCGAGTGAAATTCTGAAAGCATTGTACGTAACATTTCTTAATGAAGATAAGCTGCAAGTTTGCAGCTGTTCGTGTAAAAAATGAGATGGACGACCAAACAGCTACATGGCCGCACATTGCAAAAAGTATATTTTTTAATGTGCACAACCTTTTTCTCTGTTTAATTCTTCGTTAATTTAAGCTTTCATCTCAAAATATTACTTACATGTGTCCTTTGAAAATTTTCATACTACCACACGACAACAAAGCATGTCCTACAATCATTGTTAATGAAAGCAGTAAAAATTTGTAAAAACAATTTAAAACACAAGGTAAGTAATATTTTGAAATGAAAGCAAATATATATGGAGAAATAAACTAGACAAAGGGTACATGTTGTGCGCAATACATTAACACTTTTTCCCAGTTTGTGGCACTAGTACTGTAGCTTTCTAGTCAACCATTCTATTTTTTCCCAGACAAACAAGCTACAGAACTGCAGTTAACTAAAAAAATTATTTTCATTGCCTTACGTACAGATGAAAAAAACCTTTTAATTACAAAATCAAGAAAATAACAACTAAACATTTAAATAAATAAAATGAAAAAAGTAATGACGTATAAAGCCGCACAGATTAATTTTTTATTCAAAGTTTATCAATAATTCCTATAATGTACATTGTATTAATGAAGTGTAAACATTTGTAGGATGATAGCAAACACGCAGAAAATCATCATTTACTTTTTAAAAATAAAATGCTTTTGCAAATCAGTTTTCTACTTTATTTTTTTAAGAATCCTTTTACAATATATTTTCGTTAAAATGTGTTCTAGAATCTTTATCTTATAGCAAATTAAATAAAAAATAATGGATAATTAGTTTGACCTTGTACATGTACATGTTCACAATCTTGCATGATTGTTTGAAATACCAGTGCATGAATATATAATTAGCTCCTTATTCTCAAATACACCTTTAACTCATACTAAAGTTCTAATGAATTTTTATTTTGACATCAGTTTATGAAACTAAAATCGAAATTTTATACCTCTAAATATACGGGTGTAGGTTTCAGTGTATTATATGCTCCCTACAAATACATTAATACGTGATCTTCGCTGAAAGGTAATACGGCATTTAATTCGCAACATTCTTTCATTCAAAAAGGATGCTCCAATTATGATGTCGGTGGCTTTTATATTATAGGTTGAAAATTTCCCCGCCACATATTGTATACAAGCGTCCATGGTCGAGGTGCTGTCACCGTAAATTAAGGTCTCTATTGGGGCGTCTTTTCCCATGGAACGCTATACCGTGCGCAAATAACAACACTTCTAGACAATCTAGTATTTTATTTAATCAAGTTTGAGCTTCAAACGATTCGTTTGCATAGCGAAGATCAGCGATGGTAATTTATGAACCGAAGGCGCTCTGATAGTGAAAAGAGATTTGTTTGAAGTTGTAAAAATGATACTATCTTAAAGAACATCGCACAACCACCAAGTTTACAAAAGGGGATTCGCCGAGTATTCACAATAGCTCTTGACGGTTTAGCTTGCTCTTGACAGTGGTGTTTACAAGGAACAATATGTTACATCTTGTACCGTGAAATCTCCAAGAAGAAATTAAAATTTAATTTTTATCAGATTCTATCAAATTATTGAATTATTTCTTTTCAATATTTATTAAATGTATTAATTTTGGTAAGAATATACCCAAGTTTATAGTTTATGCCTAATCCCATTAACATAATCATTTTGTCAATAAAATTTGGTCGAAACAGTTAGAAAAAACTTATATTTCAGATATTTTAACTGAAAATATACACTCGAATTTATACAAGCTACATAATATTTCTTTTGAAATATGGCCATAAATATGGTTTCAGGTTTAATGTGTTAAAAAGAACCCAAAAAATGAATATGATAATTTTCTGTTTCATCTTCTGTTGCAACAACTCACCATTTATTTCGATCATTTCAGGCCGTCAAGGAAAATATGGACACAGAATGCAAGTGTCATGGTGTCTCTGGATCTTGTACCATGAAAACCTGCTGGACCACCTTACCGCCATTTCGTCAAATAGGAGACCATTTACGTAAGAAATACAGAAGATCAAAACAAGTGGTCCCAATGGTAGGGGGACGTAACAGGCGTCCAGTTTACCTGACTTTAAAGCGGTCTAGGCGCTCTCACACAAAACCAAGGCGATCAGACTTAGTGTATTTACAGAAATCGCCGAACTACTGTGATTATGACGAGTCTGTTGGTTCGCTAGGAACTGTGGGAAGGAAGTGTAATAGGACGTCTATCGATACGGACGGATGTGACCTCATGTGTTGTGGGCGGGGTTACAATACCCATCAGTATACAAAAACATGGCAGTGTAACTGCAAATTTCATTGGTGTTGCTATGTGCATTGTAATAAATGCAGTGAACGGACAGAGGAATATGCATGTAAATAAATGACGACATCATTTTTGATGGAATGTTGGATTAAGGACTCCAACAAAAAAAATCAAACATGAAATATACATGTTCTTATACGTACATGTACAAGGAAACGAGTGCAATTTCAATGTTAACACATATCAGACACTCCACTTTTTGTTTGATATAGCATTTACATGTACATTTCTTTCAATATTGTGATATTTATAACATTTTCAAATGTCATTGTATATATATCATTGTTTCATATTTTATACAAGTTATATATTGTTTAATGTATTTATTTTAGATAGTCTAAGAAATTTATGTATACAATGATTTTGAAAACACTACTTTTATTTGTAGTTTATTTTTAAAAGCCCACAAAAAATAAATGATATTTATCTTAATTAAAAATAGGAACCTTCCACAAGTAAGTGCTCCCATATACTGCTATAAGACTTACATTGCCACTGTTGAATTATGATAATTTTCAAGAAAATAGGAAACTAAATCAAACCTGTAATATTTGTACCATGCCGAATGCTTCTAACTTTCAAAACGACCTTTACCAGGTTTTTGGAAAGGGGAAAGTACAGAGGCCTCCCATGTGCCAGGAATTTTCATTTCATAGGCCTTTTTTAAAACTTATAGAAGACGTAATAATCCGTGTACCTGAAAAGGAATAAACTCAGTGGGTGTGACTGGACGTCAGGGGATGTCTATTCCACCTAGGTCCCTAGCCTGGGGGCCATAAAACTTTAGACGAGCTCACTTTTGATCTCAGTCTCACTTTTCCACTATTAATTTCTTTAGAAAAAGTGAGAATGAGATCAAAATTGAGCTCGTGTAAGCTTTATGGCTCCCAGGGCCCTATCTCTGGAATAACAAGCGTCCGTGTTCTATGCCTTGTTCACATATTTGTATTGTTTGTAGATTTTGTTCACATCAATCACGGCTCGTTATCTTCGCTATTTTTAAAATACTTTATAAAATAAATACTTTTTTTTGTATATTTGAAGTCCCTTTCTTAGAATCATATAAACGAAATTTAGAAAAATTATTTCGTTTTCCTAGATAAAGCTAAAAAAATCTTTTGTGTTTCTAAGAATTAATATATCACAATAGTCTTGGGGGATGCTATCGCACTAATACCATACTCATCCCGTTCCGAGGTTTTATTTATTAAATTTGTTGATTTCCTCCAACCATAAATGTCCTCACTGCAATTATATGTCTTTTGTTGAATCTGTCTCAGAGTCGCTTATATTTCACATGACAAGTACGTATACAGGTATCATGTTTATTCCAATGGTTTGAAATGTACGTGTTTATATGTACAAGTTTTAATTCCAATAATAAATTATCTTTTCATCCTTACATAGATATTACCCGTTGACTATATCTCCACTGTTGACATTCCAAACTTAAAAATTGAAAATTATATTTTTTTCTTTTCTTGTTTCATGTAGCCCTTGTAATGCCTAATGTATGTTTTTTGCATAAGTTATAGAAATTGTTAACTTTGTACTAACTATGTTTTTAAAAAGTAGGAGTTTTTCATGTTTCTCGTTGAACCAATTCTGTAATTTTCTAAATGTTTAAACATTCCTCTACACTTTGTATTTTTATGCAAATATCGTAGTAACAAATAATAGGATGGACATTATTTTTTTATGTATTTTTTCTAATTATTATTTATTACTTATCAGACTGAATTATTAATTTTTTCAGCTACCAAATGTCACAATTTAAAAAAAAAATGTCAATTGAAAATTTACATTTGAAGAGAAATATTTTTAATAAATTATATGTTTTAAAGAACATATACATGTGTCGACTTTGATACTATAAAAAAAGAAACAAATCTATACTTTTTGTATTCGAGGAACTGATAGCATATATGTATTAATTCACAGATACGGAATGCGTTCATAAGTATACTTAAAGTACTACATGCTTGGTCTAAATACTTTATAGATGAAAAAAAAAAACGAGTGCATGTAGGATAACAAAAAATTATATCTAACCACTAACCAGGATTCAAGATTCTTTTATTACACGTTTATCATATCTTGTGTATAACCTATTCAATATTTTACACTCTTTATATACATGTGTGTAAATGCACACCATTTGACTTAATCAAATTCACGCAAAAACAATTTTGACGTCAAGACGACTGATATACAGTGGCTATCCTATCACGGTAACGCTAATTCTACATATAAGTATTCTACAGTTAATGTCTGATATACAGTGGCTATCTTATCACAGTGAATCTAATTCTACATATAAGTACTCTACTGTTAATATCTGATATACAATGGCTATCCTATCACTGTGACTCTAATTCTACATATAAGTACTCTACTGTTAATATCTGATATACAGTGGCTATCCTACATATAAGTACTCTACAGTTAATATCTGATATACAATGGCTATCCTACATATAAGTTCTCTACAGTTAATATCTGATATACAATGGCTATCCTACATATAAGTACTCTACAGTTAATATCTGATATACAATGGCTATCCTACATATAAGTACTCTACAGTTAATATCTGATATACAATGGCTATCCTACACTGTGACTCTAATATCTGATATATAAGTACTCTACATATAAGTTAATATATCTGATATACAATGGCTATCCTCATATAAGTACTCTACAGTTAATATCTGATATACAGTGGCTATCCTACATATAAGTACTCTACAGTTAATATCTGATATACAATGGCTATCCTACATATAAGTACTCTACAGTTAATATCTGATATACAATGGCTATCCTACACATAAGTACTCTACTGCTAATATCTGATATACAATGGCTATCCTACATATAAGTACTCTACAGTTAATATCTGATATACAATGGCTATCCTATCACTGTGACGGTAATACTACATATAAGTACTCTACAGTTAATATCTGATATACAATGGCTATCCTACATATAAGTACTCTACTGTTAATATATCATATACAATGACTATCTTATCACGGTGACTCTAATTCTACATATAAGTACTCTACAGTTAAAATCTGATATACAATGGCTATCCTACATATAAGTACTCTACTGTTAATATCTGATATACAGTGGCTATCCTATCACTGTGACGCTAATACTACATATAAGTACTCTACAGTTAATATCTGATATACAATGGCTATCCTATCACTGTGACGCTAATTCTACATATAAGTACTCTACAGTTAATATCTGATATACAGTGGCTATCTTATCACTGTGACTCTAATACTACATATAAGTACTCTACAGTTAATATCTGATATACAATGGCTATCCTACATATAAGTACTCTACAGTTAATATCTGATATACAATGGCTATCCTACATATAAGTACTCTACTGTTAATATCTGATATACAGTGGCTATCCTACATATAAGTACTCTACAGTTAATATCTGATATACAATGGCTATCCTACATATAAGTACTCTACAGTTAATATCTGATATACAATGGCTATCCTACATATAAGTACTCTACTCTACTGTTAATATCTGATATACAATGGCTATCCTATCACTGTGACGGTAATACCCCCCAGTTAATATTGATATACAATGGCTATCAACATAACCTTTACTATAGTAAATGTTCATTGATAGGATGGTTGGCCCCCCCACTTTATAACCATAGTGTAGTGATAGTAAGGTTTGTAAGGGAAAAATTGGAAGTGATAGTAAGTTGGCTTTGAAAAAGTTCTACAGTTAATATCTGATATACCCCCCTCCCCACGAAATAGGATTTTACTGTTAATATCTGATATACAACTTTGAATTTTCGCTAATACTACATATTTTTTTTTTAATATCTGCTATGTCAACTTTTTCAGGTGAGTAAAAAAAATTTTTTCTTAGGTTCACCCCCCACACTTTCAAAAACGATGCTACGTGCCTGCTATCCTACATATAAGTACTCTACTGTTAATATCTGATATACAGTGGCTATCCTATCACTGTGACGCTAATACTACATATAAGTACTCTACAGTTAATATCTGATATACAATGGCTATCCTATCACTGTGACTCTAATTCTACATATAAGTACTCTACAGTTAATATCTGATATACAATGGCTATCCTATCACTGTGACTCTAATTCTACATATAAGTATTCTACAGTTAATGTCTGATATACAATGGCTATCCTATCACGGTGACTCTGATTCTACATATAAGTACTCTACATTTAATATTAAAAGGATGCTGTACGTTATCGTCGTATTTTACAAGAAACTGTTGGAATTTCGAGGACACTAGTTGTGATCCTTTATGCGTTGATCTGTTTTTATTATGAAACATACATATCATGGAGATACCGAACAGTATTCAAGATTAAAAGTCTATAAAACAATAAAAATTAATTGGAGAGCAAACACGGACCTCCAAAACATCAGAGGGGGATCAGGTGCCATGGAGGACTGAGAATCCCCCTGCTGACCGGTCACACCCACCGTGTGCTCCTTGTCATAATCGGAAAATAACGGAAAAACCGTTGTCAATTCAGTGTATAAATAATGGACTAACAATTAGTATGAAAATTATTTTATTTAATTTAAAAAAACTTCTACATGAGAGGAGGGAAACTCTTGGAATTGCCTTCGATTCAACATTCAGATGTATCGATGATATTTTTCAATTAATAATAGTTATTTTCATTTATATGTCAAATTGATATATCCCGTTGAACTTGATATTAAAGACACATCATGCATATGGATTCTGCCACAGCTGTTTCGGATTTTGATGATTTTACTGACTATAAATGACGATTAACTACTAGCACTATGCTCAATTGCATAATATAATGGATGACTTCAGAATTTCCATCGGTCACTTTCCTTAGTTATGTACTATACATTACAAACCACCTCCAATACAGTTCTAAAGCATCATATGGTTTGTAAAAAAAACATTCGTGGATTTATTTTGTAGAATTAAAAGTGTACATTTTGCTATCATAAATTACAACAGTATATTATGTTTTAACCAAAAAACATGGTCTTGAGATTGTTAAAGTTACACAGAAATACAATTAATGTGAAACGGAATTAAGCATTCCACAGATCAACCAGATACAGTTTTGAATCTCATATTTACATCATAAGACATATGTGTAAATATACTCAATACCGTTAAAAACACAATTTTATAGTATGCTAGATAACTTATCTTTAAAAAATATGCAGTCGTATCACGAACGATTATTAATATGATTAAAAAACATTGATTATACAAAATTGCATTGAAAACAAAAAAGACCTTTATCTTATTCCGAGGAAGATGTCAATATATTGCCTTTTCGTGCATAGATATTATAGAAAAAATGATTTTACAAGGACAATGACCAGACAAATACGGTACATCATTCTAATAAAACTGGACATTGTTTTTTTTCTTGTGTAATAAACTGATAAAAATCTGAACGATTTTGCGAAAATTTTTGTCCTGTATAGAAATGATTGAAGCGTATTTATATATCATTGCCATAGAAGACTAAATATTCCCTGTCGCTCAGACAAACCTGCAGTGTGCTTTCTTTCATGAACGGGGAACCATTTGTAAATTAAGTAACTATGAAAAATAAAGTGCCTTAAAATCTGAATGAAAAAGTTAGTCGACAAAATGAAATTTTTTTTTTTTTTTTTTTTTTTTGCAAACAATGTCACTGTATCGACAAAAAAGATGCCAAATATTATCTTCTGACGATATTGTAGATACCCTACTACCTTTACCTACTGAACTCAGTTTTTTTTTTCTTATTATTAGACTGAATTGTTTTAAAAGTTGTGCATTGGTATAAATACGTATACATATCAAATTAATTGTGAAAAATAATCCACAAATACAGTTGATACTGTAAATGTATTATTTTTGATGTGTACGATATTTGGCGGAAATTCTTTTTCCAACATGTTTGCGTAGATTTGATTTAGCGCTATTTGAATATGTTAGACATAAATGTATGACAGTCTGCGCTGTACTTGCTTTAGCGGACTCTGTTTTCCACCTAAATCCATCGCTAAATGTAGTAAGTTTACAGTAATCTTTTTTCCTAGACAGACGAGAGAAGCTGCCAATAGTAAAGTTGAATTCATCATCTATATCATAAAGTTAAGTTGTTAGTTTGCCAGTCATTATTTTTGAGTAAATAACAATGAGCCGAAAAAACAAGAGATAAAATTAAAACAAGTTCAAAATCATTATCGACAAATTGAGCAATTTTAAATACAAACGGTTTTTAAGTGCAGACTACGTACTTTATATAATATAAAGTTATTTTGTAATGTATCTTGTTACATTGATCATATCAGACCAAATATGAAGCTAGGGGCTTACAAAAAAAATCGATACTGCCGTACTTTCTAAGTTCGTAGAAAATGACAACAATAATTATAATTATGAAACTTGATTTACTGTACATGAATTCATTGTTTTAATGAAATCAGAATTACTCGAGTATTTTGCCTTATTATGTTCATATTCTACATACATGCAATCTTTACTCAACTGCACGATTTTAATCGTAATTTAAGGGACATGGACACGGATTCAGCTA